CACCCTCCTCCACCCCTTTTAAAATCTAGAAGGCCCACGGGTGCTCATCTAAGAGTGACGAAACAAAATGTCGACATTTACAAATCCAAATAGGAAGGATTCGATTTTTCCCACAAGTAATACCTGAAATACTAATCCACTTAAATAAAGTTCAGTAATAAGTATTCTCAATAACGAATCCGAGAGCAAAAAGCGTGGTGTACACTCTGTTAGGAAAAGGAAAGGTTAGAACAGTTGGGGAGGACAATGGAATTGTATGACAAAAGTGTGGGGTGTGGGATAAAAAAAATGTACAGCAGAGAGGGAGAGAGAGGGGGGGGGGGTGGCGATCCGTCAGCGTCCAAGTCGAGCGAATTGGTCCAAATCGGGAACTGCTGCAAGGAATTGTTCGATATGACCGATGGAAGTCAAATCTACTACTCCAGCGCCTCCATTATTTACGCCTGAAGCATCCTCTTCTTCCATTTCCAACAGCACAATGTCCTAAAATGGGGAAGCAACATAATAACTGCCAATCAACAACATAAATCTCTTGCTCATAAAGACCAATGCGACCAAAACAACTTTAACTTAGATGAATTCGACAAAACACCCCCTCCCTTTAGGATGATAAATACTTATTTGTCACCTCAAAATTAGATGATTTAAGTGAAAAAGGGTGTTTGGAATTGATGGGACGAAGAGAACAAACACTAAAGTGCAGGGGGATCAAATAACAACCCTAATGGGGGATATCTAGGACATCTGTTTTTTCTTCAAGAAATCCGGATGGAATTTTTGGCACAACCCGAGATAAGTATTTTGCAGACCGACTTTAACAATGGAGGTGAAGTGAGATAAATTAGATTTAAATTAATTTTACTAGCGATAAAGACAAACAGACATTCCTAGAATGAAAACAGACTTAGGATAGATCATCACAAGAACCTCGAGCTCAAATAGCACCCTGATAACTCAACTTAAAAGGATTGTTTTAAAAGACTCTAGTTGAAAAGGAGTGCATTTTTTGAGAATCTCCGGCAAGAAGCTCGACTTCTACAACCGCTCGATTAGCCCGACAATCGGTATAATTAGAAACTGCTCAGTAAGTTGCTATCTTGTGAGCCTTGAATACTCAGACAAAAAACGATTGTATCTCCTCAAATAACGTTAACATGACGGCAAGGAAAAAGAGAGCAAACAATTTGGTATAATAAGTGTATCATTGGGTAAGGTCAAATATCTCGTGACGACTAAAGATAGTGAGCATAAAATTTAGTCTATCTGGCACTGTCGATTGCTAAGAGCTGGTGAGGCAGCACATCATAACAACCAAGTCACCATTCTAAAGCAACTCATTTCTTCCCACTTTGCATAACAAGAATTGCCCGCGTTTAAATAAGTTGATCGAGCAAAGAGTGCACCAACGATTAGTAGCTACCTCCCCCCTTCCCTCCCCCCCCCCACCCTCTCCTTACTTTAGTAATGACCAGAATAGCTAAATTAGCGTTCATTTCCAAAAGGGGTTTTAGTGAGGCCTCTCTTAATACTTCAAATGTCTAACTTGCTTGGGTCAATAAAAGTATGTAACTCACAGAAGAGTACGATGACATTCCAGGACTGGTTAGACGGAAGAAGTTTTCACCGATAACCAACCTCGTTTCCCCATTGTCGAAGATTTGTATTTTGCCAACCTTACCAAACTTCTCAATGGGTGAGCCCTACAAACAAAGTAAACAAATCTTGAACTGGTTGTCAAAGAAATAATTTCAATAAACCACAAAATTACATGCTAAAATATACAGAGTGACCATGTTGGATGAAATAGAAGTCTATAAGTGCATTACTAAAATAATATCCTAATCGAAATGCATAGAAACGAACACCCATACCTATATGCATAATCACTTGATCTACACGCTTTAACTTTGAAGCTTAAATAAATAAAATGGCGTGCAAGTGTGATAGTGAGCAACATGCTTATGAGAGGCAAGTCACAAACTTCATAATCGAGGGCAACCGGCATTCGAAGAGAGAAGATACTGCCGTTAGATTTTTGTTCATCAAACAGTTCGTGGACCAGAGGGGTAGATGAGTGGATAGAAGCCTGATTATCAGATGAAGGAGCAGAAGCTAAATTAGACCAATAAACAGTCACTCATGATCGGCTTACATGAAGAAAAAACCATGACAATAAGTCTTACATGGAAAATGATCTCTTTTAAATTGCTTAGAAATTTCAGGGGGATCCGGCGGCATTATATTAGGTGGATGTTTGAAAACTTGATGGATGTTCGAGAGAGTTGGATATTCATTGTCAAAGTTCTGAACTTCGGTAGAAGGTGGAATTTCTGCTGTTGCCTTTGAGGAAGCTTTGCTACTTCGAGATGGAAATGAATCTAGACAATTAATTAAGCGTTAAGTTAAATAGATCAAACCGTAAAAAGTCAAAATTTAATTTTAAAACTTACCCCTCTCAAAACGAGTCCGATCATTTCTCTCAGCACATCCAAGACCAGACTCAAACATCGAAAACCCCTGTACGAAGCGAGGCTCATCGCCATCAAGAGCCTTTCGATTTATCCGTCCACGAGTGGCATTCGACTTCCCAGAAAATTGCTGGGACTTACGAGTATCATCATTGGAATTGCTAATATTTAAGAAAAAGATTGCAAAAGAAACAATAAGTACTCATTTATTCAATAAAGGTAAATGACTCAAAGTTATTACACTTACGATAAACTAGCCTGAGACTTTTTGGCCAATGCTTTGGTAATATTAGGTGTAAATTTGCGTTTTCTGGTGACTTTCTTTCCTTCCGAATTTATAACATTTTGGAAATCCATTATACGACTATCAACGAAACACGAGACCGTAATCAAAAAATATAGGAAATATAAAGGCTAGTTGAGCACTATAAAAAACGAGGCATATCCAATCCCGAATGTGACGGCAAATTTCGCAGATTAAAACAAGCGTGCTAATGTTGATAGAGTAATATTTTGATAGTAAACGTTTATTAATTACTTCGGTGAGTTAGGATATTATTAAACTTATTAATAAATAAATTCAAATTCTAACCAATTTATCATTCTTTCTGATACTATTTTGCGCGAGCACTTGTATTGTTGCCTTTTAATTGTGCTTGTTTTCCTGAAATATTGGGTCAAAACTTTAGAAAATGTATTATTTTTAACGGCATTATTGGCTTTTATGATGCTTATAAAGCAGGGTTTCTAACCAAATTGGAAAATAAAAAATTCTCCATTATGACACAATTCGTTATTTTTCATTTTCCGGGCTTTTATTAATGAATGTTGCTGATGACTTCACTTATAAACCAACTTATTCTCATTGATGCCATGATCCAATCAACAATATTGAGAGATACACCTATGGTGTGAAGCATGCTTATTCAGAGAACGTGTCTGTAATAGAACCTGGACATTAAAATAAAACTATGGGTTTCTTAAACAATGCATTGTCTGCCTGAGGGAAAATAACAGTTCTTTGTACAAGCATAATACCGTCATGCACTGCACTGGATGCCGATTTTGATCAGTTTCGTTGCTCAGCTTCAGATAGTTTAAGTCAACTGTTTCTTGTCTTCTATGTGTCATTCACCAATGAAATAATTAATAAAGTAGGAAATTATTTATAAAATTTTTTTCATAAAGTTGATCAGACATGTTTTGTCGAAATAATTCAACGTACCCTTCTCATGGACTGGAATGTGCAATCTTTTACGCTTTTGAAAACGAATTTAAAATGTTCATTATTTTCAATTATATTGTTGATTGGTTTATCTCCTTCTTATATTACACCTTGGCCCGAGTTCTGATTCTGTTTCACAGACTAATAAAACAACTTTTCTGGTCAGTTAAGCCGCCATCAATGTCTCCATGGTGAGTGATCCGAATTCGGATCTTCCCTGGGCTTCATCCCCAAATACGACAAAATTTAGCATAGTGAAAATTGAACACAACAGTCTTGATGCCTTGGAAATAGCGTTTTGACAACCTAAATGAGTCAATTTGTTGAGTGGACAGTCGGGAAGGAAATTATAATCATATCGTTGTTATATTGCCAGGTCCTGAAGGCGTAGGTACCGCAATCTCGAAGATCGTATCCCACAGCTCCTAGAAGTTCTCCCATTATTTTTCTTTATCAAGAATAATACAATTTCTCACAAGAAACGGGCAAATCAAATCTGGAGAAGACAAACTGCGTTTCTCAAGAGATATTTAAAACATGCCCATAGGTCAGTTTTATTTGGCTCCAACTTTACAGTAGGAGTGTCGATATGTTTAATAGAATTTCAACGAATCAACAATCACCTCAAAGTATACTTCACACTAGTAACCCTTCCATTATATAATATTAGTCTTATTATGCTAAAAGCAGTTATTAATGTCTACACAGAAAACATTGCATATATTGCTAATCCTCCAGTCCTTTCAGATCCTGAAGGGTTGTTTCAATGTCGGGTTCAGAGGTTTCATAGACCATGCCGTCTCCATCATAGGGTTGACAGGGAAAGGGGAGAAGAACATGCAGAAGAAATCGTCTGCACAGCTCCCCTTTTCCGTGGTGCGATCTCGGGGTTTCAAGACCCAAAAACCGAAGCCAATTAGAGCGAGGTCCAAAGTCGAAGAGATTGCGGTATATGCGATTGTAATGCAGGCGTAGGCAGCATGCAATGCGAGAATTCTGTACCCTCTCCACACTGGTCTCGCCCCTTGTAATCAATAGACCGTGCCACAGCAAGAGACCCATCGTAAAAAGGAAGACCACAGCGGCAACACGATAGAGAGCCCCAATGAAGGAATGTGTCAAACGATTGATTGAATTGTACTTCTAAATGAGAAAAAGTGCAAACGGCATACTCAATTCTTCACAAAAGGGCATGAGATCCTCAGAAAGAGGACTAGTGCTCGGACGAGAGGCATTAATTTTAATCCCAATATGTATAGCTTTATCACACCTGAATCATTCATCAACACGCCTACCTTATACTTAGGTCCAGTGGTTCATTCACATTCATGTTCATTTTAGCCTTTTAACAAAGAACTCTCGTGCATTGACAGCTGAAGTTTATAGGCAACCAGCACGTTGTCATGCCTACTGAAAACCTCACTTTTGTTCCATTTGGTTCCACCCTTCGGGGATTCTAATCTGGTGAAATCGGGTGCCACTAAGAGTTTAGGAGAATTAAGCTCCAACAACTACTGCATCCTGCTTCATAAAGGATTCAAGACGTTGCATGACTTCACAGAACTCCAGCCAATATTTATCTAATTCCCTGACAAATGGTTAAATATTAATGCTCTTATGATTGAGCATAAACACGTTGTCTGCCAAGACGCAGTAACAGGAGACTCAGCTGGAGAGAAGCGACAGTAAGTGAAGATCTGACTCATCAAATTAATCTGGTGAATCATGCGACAAATGACAGTAAAGGATGGCCGTGAACCATCCACCGACTTATTATAAATAAGTTTAGTTATTACACCGGGGTGTGCGATAGACTTACCTCCACGTGGTGCATCCTGGGCAACGTATACTCATACGGCAAAAAAGTCTATTACCTGGTAGTTGACTTCAAACTACTATGACCCCACTGTATGTCATATTCGACTACTTTCACAGTACTCATCCCACCTTTTTCAACCTTATCTACCTTCGTCTTTGATACACTCTTCTGTCCCCCCCCCCCTCCTGAATTTTTTACACTTTGATGTTCCTTCCCCTCTGTGAAGCCTGAAGTCAACTAAAGGGCTAATGATAACAATCAAAACGCCTGCCATTTGATATAACAATAATAATATCGTTAAAAAAGCAAACCAAATTGCAGAAAACTCTCAGTTACTCTAGGGCTTATGGAGGTTAAACGATGTTCATCGGAAGTTGAATCGCCTACTACACTTCACTGAGTGAGTTAAATTTTCAAAGGCATTTACACGCCATTACCTCTTAACTTAATAAGCTTAGCAAAAAAATGACTTTAATAAACGGATATGGATCAATGTGCATTCCTAGAGCAGAGGGGTAACGACAATTAGTTGAAAAAATAAGATTATTCAAATAGAGTTAGAAGATTCAGCTCACTTGATTGGTATTATTGCAAATATTGCGCATGTGCTCGATGTAATCGCTGTATCCAGCCGCATAGAGATAAACGATACCGAGGGAGAGATGAAGAAGGAAGAGGTAGAAGTGACGATGAGTCCGCAGACCAACACAATTGTTGAGCCAGGGACAGTGATGATCCATTCGAAGGACACAGACGCCACACACTCCACAGTGATGTGCTCGCAATGGACGCGGTCTCTGACACCTCGTGCACATTGTCCACGGAATGTCTGGCGATAGTGGAGCGATTGGATCCACTACGCCAGGTGAGATTAGAGCACCTGGGACAGAAAAGTTGACTGAAAGTCGAATTTTAAAAAGTCGGCAGTTAGAACGATTGTGTCGTAGCACATGATCAGAGCATTTTAATGCAAACCAGGAAGGCAAACCCCTCCCCCCCCCCTCCCCCCCACTGAGAGGAAAGTTGACTGGCACAAAAAAGTATTAGTTGAAAGGGGGCTTCTCGATTGGACCACCATAGCAGCTTCGTATTCGATTGGTTGCCTAACCAGTCGACATAAAGTCTCAGCTCGTGTTTCGTTTGAAACTTCAATAATGCTGAAATATGCTCAGATGTGCTTATGGACAGCTTTGCTATTTAATTATGGAGAAAATCGCTATCAATTTACGTTCCGATCGTTATTGTCTCAGCCTACGAATGTGGATAAATAAGTTCGCATGATATCCAGCCTTTAGTAATCATGGGGTGGATTGGATTCCCATCGTGATGAAGCCGGGTGGGCGAAGTGGAAAAGTCTTGCTAAGTTAGGGCGCAGAAAGCGTAGATCCACTTGCCAGACCACTCTTTCCATAAAAAAAACGAGGGGAATCGAAAAGGCTTTTAGAAAAAGGGCATGGGGATTGACAAATAAATTAAAATGTCTAATTCATTCAATCAAACTGGGAAGTAAAATAAAACAGACAACCAAAAGAGCCTTGCCTGAGAAAAAGTGGACAGCAATGTTGACCAGAAGAACATGTCCAAAAAATGCATGAACGAGAAGAATAGTGAGTTCTGAAGACTGTCCAGAATCGCGCCAACGTTTAAGTCGGAGAGGAAGGAGGCATAGATAAAGAGAAAGTACAACTGAACCAATCCCAAAGACTACGAAAACAACCAAAAATCGACCGAGAGCACGATGTTGTTTAATGCTGAGATGAAGAATGCGAAACATGAAAAGCCTCCAATAGACGAGATTGGCAAAGTTGGCAGTGATTTGCAAAAGGCACGAAAGGAACCACAACAGACCTGTACGGCTCGAAGTGGGGGCTGGGAACGAGACTTCGTTCCAGATGAAAGCCCTTGCAATTAGGGAAAGCAACTTCCACATTATCTATTTACATGAGAATTCTATATGTTCAAGCTAAATGAAGGTAGTTAAGTCCAATTTTTATTTTTATGTAATTACTTTACGAGACTATAACAATAATAATCAACCTTCCATAGCTCAGTCATACGAAAACCGCCAGATTATTGGGCGATAATTCGCACCTAACCAGCTGCTGCGTTTTGGAAAGTGGGCTAAATGACCACCGTTATTTTGAGGAATTGTGTCTGAATAACAATTAGGCCATGTGCATTCATTTAAATTTTAACTAAAGATTTGCTTTTATGTCTAAATTATGGATGAATAATGTTTACTTTGCTTGTATTCAATTGACTTTTGTCTTATAAACTCAACCCCTTCATACCAAGGTCACGTGATAGATATGCGACAGTTTAACCTGCATGGGCACGTATTGTTGCTTTTTTCCGAAGGTATCTGGCTGATATTAAAAGTTGTATTATTTTGGTCATCGTCATATATTTATGCATATACGAATTAAATCCAACTTTAGATTTTAAATGAATAGTTTATTTTCTGGAGTTGGTAAATTGCAACTAGATACCTCTTCTTTACTCGACGACGATGTTTCTAATCATAGTGAAATTGATAGACTGAAAACAGGTGAAGTATCTCCCAAAAAATTTCCTGATCGCCCAAAAATTCACTACACACCAACGGAAAATGATTTCGAAAGTCTCCCTGGGTTTGACCTTTCCACAGGCAATGAATGGCATTATCCTACCAGTGTCGAATTACGAACTTACCAGTTCACGATCACCGAACGATGTCTTTACCAAAACTGTCTTGTCTGTATTCCCACAGGTTTGGGAAAGACTCTGATCGCCGCTGTTGTCCTTCACAATTTTCTCCGGTGGTATCCCAACAGTCGGGTCGTCTTTATGGCACCAACTAGACCACTCGTTTCCCAGCAAATGCTTGCTTGCAGAGATCTCACTGGCCTTTCAATCTCTGGTGAGCACGCTGCAGAAGCAGTTGAGCTAACAGGGACAACTCCACCTCCTCAAAGAGCTGCAATGTGGAGTGGGCAACATCGTGCATTTTTTCTCACTCCTCAAGTCATTGCAAATGATCTCGCTTCGGGAATATGTCCTGCCACTTCAATTTCCTGTATCATTATCGACGAAGCTCATAAGGCTACTGGAAATCATGCCTATTGTCAGGTTCGTCTTTGTTAAGTTCGTGTCTAAGTCCCAAAATTTTTGTTGTTTTTACGTAGTTGTCCATTTGTAGGTGATTCGAGGAATAACAGGAGAGCCCTACAATCATCGACAATTTCGGATAGTTGCACTCTCTGCTACTCCGTCTACGCACCTCCTTGGGGCTCAGTCGATTATTGCTAATCTCCTCATTTCTCACTTGGAGGTACGAAACGAGTCCAGTCTTGATGTACGTCCCTACTGCCACAGACGAGCTATTGAAACTATTGTCGTGCGTCTGGATCCCCAGCTCTCCACCTTCAAATTACGACTTTGTGCACTAGCTGTTCCTCCTTTGCAAAGGCTCTGTGAACGTAATGCTCTCTGGACACCTAATCACGGCAAGCAACCTGATCCAGAGTCTTTTGCGCCATTTACTCTGGTGAAAGCTCGTGAGACTTTCCTGAAACAGAATCAATTCTCGCCGTACACTGGAATGATTATGCGAGATTTTCGTATTGCCACTTGTTTCGCTCGTTCTCTCCAACTTCTCACTCAGTATGGCCTTCGACCCGTTTATCAGTTTCTCCTTTCTAATACAGAGTCATCTGATGAACTAGCTCAAGTTTCTGGGTTACAAGAGCTTATTACTGATATAGGAAGTGCTTTGGGAATCAACAAATCAGATGAGGCTATGAGTCAACTACCGTTTGTTTTCGGCCATCCCAAACTTTTCAAATTGCGAGATGTTCTAATGGATCACTTTTCCAAGTCAGTTACAAACTGTCTCAGTCAAAGAGGAACTAGAGCAATTGTGTTTACTCAATATCGAGACTCTGTTGCAGATATAATGCACATGTTAAAGTCCTACTCAACTCTACTTCGACCGGCTGTGTTTGTTGGACAATCATCGTGTGATCAAGGTCATGTGCGGAAAAAGAACACACAACGTGACCAATTGGAAGTCATGGAGGCTTTCAGAGAGGGCCGGGTGAATATTCTGATCTCCACTTCTATCGGTGAGGAAGGTTTGGATATTGGTCAAGTGGATTTAATTGTCTGCTATGATGCTCACAAATCCCCTTCAAGACTGATTCAACGTCTGGGTAGAACAGGACGCAAACGCTCCGGAAGGGTTGTGGTTTTGCTCACAGAGGGTCGAGAACAGTCTAACTTCTCGCTGAGCATGGCTCGCTCTAGTACTGTCCACACAACTCTCTTGCAAGGGCAAGCAAACAGACAGTTGACCTTTTACCCCCACAATCCCCGCATGGTCCCGTTGGGGATTGATCCTGTCCCTATCTTTTGGCAACCTATTCGTTCTGATTCTGATGTTCCAATTAAGCGAAAATCCCTTAGAGAAAGCAAGAAAAGGTATTCTTTGTCAAATTATAATTTCCGTCTTTCACCTTGCCTACATTCTGCTCTAATATCTCTCGGGCAAACAGCGGAGGTTTGTGTGGACACATTTTCTAATCGATATTCCTTGAATCGAGGCATTGGAGCTACAAGGGAGGGATTTCAATCGGAGTTGATAGGTTCTTCTAAAACAACGTGGAATTTAGTGGCTTCTTTGAGGCTAATTGAACTTCATCGACGAGGTGGGACACATGCAATGTATCATGCAACCGGGATGAGAAAAGTCGACATGACTACTCCATTATCAGAGTTGATACCAGCATCAATGAGTCAGCTCACTCAGGCGGTTTCAGGATCAATAGTTAAACAATCTTCAGTTCCTCAATCATCTACTATCACAAAACCTCCAATTCGTTTGTTTAAGGGTCTTGTTTCAAAAAAACTAATGGTTATTCCTCGGTTTGAAATTGGCGAGGAGTTGAATCTTCCTAGTTCTCTCTCTATTTCTGACATAAAATTAGATAATTTAAATCGGGCATTTGAAACCATTGTTTCGAACTGTGATGTAATTGATCCTCCTTTACGAAATAATGAAGGTGGAACGTTGACTCCAACTAATTTGATATTTGATAATGGATTTGGACTGCCTGCTCCCATTCCTAGGAAGTCGTTGAATCTACATCAAAATTGCGAATTGCCTCCCGCCAAACGAAGGCGCTTTACAATTGGATTGGGGTCAGAATTAACAAAATCGCCAATTTCTGATCTGAATTTTAATAAAAGTTTGCGTTTTGGGAACGATTTTGACGACCTATTTGACGCCGTATGACAATGGACATGGTTGCGACTACATTTTCAGCTGCAACTTCGAGTGAGTCCCTAAAACCGCCTTACCATTTTAAATTATTTCGATTTTGACAAAAATTTTATACTTTGGTATAGAGTAATAACTGCTAATGCAACAGGATTTCAACAAGAAGAAGTGCTTCAAGCAATTATTTAGATATTTATTTTTATTAAAAATAAGAAGCTCTCCGCACAAATCATCAGTATGCTGTGATATTTTTAATGCTCTATTCTATTTAAATGGTCGATTTTTGCGAGAGAATAAAGCTTTTTTTACTAAAATCTTTATTGATTCAGCTTTGTTGTATATATTAGCAAAAGGGTAACATGCAATAATTTTTTCTACTTTTAACGCTTTCATTGCTTTTGGAAGTTCGAGTCACTGTGAAAATACATATTGTTAAGATTCCTTTTTGAGTATAGGCTCTGATTGCGTTTTCTTGATGGGATTCGATGTTGGGTCCTGTTGCTTTTCACTTAATGCGTGTTTCGTGATTTCCATTTTCTCAGTACTTTGGTGTCGATGATGTTTTGATCTTGTAGACTTTTGGATGGTTTTATGATGCAACTTTCCAAACCAATTAAGAAAATATAGATCATTGCAACGTGATGGTTCTAATAACTTCCTTTTACTCTTTATCTGATTATTCGAATCGAAATCGTTCACAATTTTTGGCTTTGGGTAACTCTTGTGATTCATCGGGCGCGCTAATGAGTTATCGTGGATTTAAGCAATTTGAGCACTTAAACAGTAAGTAAGGACTTTACTTTCTCGAATAGGGACGCAATATTTCATTTAATTTCTGTTATATAACAAATATATCTATTCAATATTTATTTTCCTATTTAAAAATAATTCAATTCAATATTTAATTATTTTTAACGAAAATAACCGTTATTTTGGCTGTCATAAACAAAATTTTTATTTCCTTATCTTTGCATTTTAAATGGTGAAGGTCGTTAAACTTCAGATTGGCGTTCTTTATGGATTATTGTGCCATACCTGTTTTCTACATAGGCCTGTTATCGTGTTATCTTTTCCAGCGGCCTTGAGGTCCAATTGTAAATGTCAGGTAGTTTATTTTTCATCTGATTTTTTCAGACTTTGCTTCAAATTGTCTATCATATGAAGGTCCAAATCGTCTCAAAGTTACTTTCTGTGTATTTTCACAATGTGGAAATTATTTTGGATTTGTGGAAAATCGGAGTCACGTTTACATCTACGAAACTTCCTCACTCGTGTAATTATTTTTTATGTAGTAGTTCTTTACGCAATGTATATCATATTATGTATTTGTTAGATTTGCAGTTTGTGATGCTCAGTAAATCTTCAATATCTATGTACATGTCTGTTATTTTGTAATCTCTATTTCTAATCTTTAAAGTAACATTGTAGTTAATGGCATGAATGTTCCCAGTCATATGTATTCAAATTAATCTAAATTTCTGTATTTATGTAAACTCAATATCTGACCTTGATTAGTCGCAGTTGTTAATTTTCAGTGTCATTTAATTATCTAATTGCGCTTTCCCTTTGCCCCATTACGATATCAAACAGATATCATATGCTATTTTTCTTTCAGTGACCCATTATCCAGGAAGATTGACACTGAATCGGCTTGGTATGTGAGTGACAACGAGACTCGAACACCCGTCAACCTCGAGCCAATCATCTCCCTGGATGCCAGCAATTCAAATTCTGGTGTGGAAGTGAACTACATCGCTTTTGGGGATGGCGAAATCTCCCGTTGTCGACTCCCTCATCGACTCTCCAAACGACGCTCCATCGTTACCACTAGATATCCTGATCGTGTCTGTGTTCTCGCTGTCGCCAAGTCAAATGGCTACATCGACGTCTTCAACATTAATCTGCTCAAGGAAAATTCCTCTCCCCGTAAATACTTTGCTCTTGCCTTTTTTATTTTTGTATGTTCAATTATTGTGATATATGTAATAACATTTAACCTTCTGCGATTCAGAAATGACAAACCAGTTGAAACACAAATACATCTTATTTTGTTCATTAATTATTCAACTTAGGAATCACAAGTAGGGGAAATTGGGTCAGCTTAGTGCATATCACACGAGGGAATGTCCTGTGATATTTAGAATCCCAATGCGAACGTGCATATTGGCATTCACCAGGTTGGAATTGTTTAGGATTCCTCATGTAATCAATTCCCTCTATCTGGGATGCTGTTGATTTTTTGGGAAACCTCTTCTTCCTGTCTTTCCTTGAGCCCTCTTTCGCGTGTCCCTCTTGTTTTCCGATGTTTACCGCTTTGCGCTGTAATTTGTGGCCACTTCGACAATTCACGCTATTTCTGAGTATAGATTAAATGATTTACTCAAATTAAATCCATAGAGCTTTTCTTATTTACTTGCACTTAATTACATTTTTAAATAAATAAAACCAAAGATTATGAGTCGAATCCTTTTTGAGTTTTACTGTTGGCCGACGCTTTATGATACTAGCAGGGTATTGAAATACTTATTTACGTATATCTTGTGTTTAGCTGCAGTTACACTTCAGGTTTATTGTTTAAGGTGGGGTTAAGATTTTAATCATGTTTCGGTATTCTGGTCCACCCAATCACGTGACTCTTTTGTCTGCTTGTTCTAAGATAGGGCAAATTAATTCGCGAACCCTTCAATTTTATTTCCACTCTTTTGGGCAGGGAAAATCGACATAACCCCCCCCCCCTTAAATATACAGCAACCAGGTTTTGTGAGTGGTATCGTTCCGAGGACAGCAAATTTTCTATTGCTTTTCTACCGTGCTTTATTAATTTCTCCCGACCGACTAGATGGCCAATCGATTTCACTTCCTACTTTGTGCAGCAATGGGCGAAATTTCCTTGATGTGTTCCTTTTCATCCGAGTCAATACGGGCAGCTTGTTGAACTGGGGCTCCTCAAATGTTTCATGCAGCCCCATGATTTAAATTCTCGTATGTGCACCCGGTGTACTTTCCTGCATTTTTTGAAAGTTTCGTGCACACTTTTAAGTGATTCATTACGCCTTGGGTCTCTTATTCAACAAACCGTCCTCCTCTGGCCCTCTGCGTTAGTACCTAAATGCCTGATCGCAATCCTCGCACTCTCGCCCTCTCTCTGCCATTGTTTACCTTTCGCTTGACTTCGCTCGTGACCTTTTTTAACTTAACTGAGATTTATTTATTCATTGGAGAAAAGTAGCATGCTATTTTGTATTGGAGAGTTTGCCAAGGTTTTATTAATGATTTCTCATGGCTCTTCTCCTTTTAATCGCGCCTCTTCTTTCCCCCCCCCCCCCCCCCCCCCCCCCCCGCCCAATTGCCTCATTGTGCTTAAGCCGGCGGTTTTCCTGCTAAATTCCTTGGCAAATGCTGGGATATTTTAACAACGTGTGCATGTAGAACAGACATAAGCAAACTCTGATTGGCCTTACTTGTCACTATGTCTGCAAAATCCGGTTATATTTTGAGTACTCCAATGAGCAAAATCTGTTAATTTGTACTTGAAAAATTTGTGTGGCTTCCCAGTTATCCTCATATTGTCCTACTTTAATAATTGAGGAGCCAATTCAATAACCTGGAGGTTAATTTGTAAGGGTCACCTTTGTCACTTATCTTTTCTTCATAAATACCTCTTTTTATATGGGCAAATTCCCCCCCCCCACCCCCAACCCTCTTTTTGGCTTTCCTACTCAAACCAACCAGACCAACAATAGCATTATGCAACTTTTGATTTTCAATGCTATCGCCGTGCTTATTTACTGTCAAGAATAAATATAATTTTCTTGACAAGTTTTTTCTCGTACTTTACCAGTCTCAATAGTGGGTCCGAAGTATTTTTTACCTAACCATTCCCACTTAGGCTGCTAGTTGTAGTGAACAATCTACGTGGACCATCGCGGTGTCACCTTACCTACATTCGGTACTTCTGTTGCTCAGTTGTGAAAGGGACTTCGGGTTTCATTCACTCATATTTTTCATGAAATGGTGGTCGTGGTGTAGGAGAATCAATGTTAATATCACAACTTTGCGCTAACGGACTTTTTGTTGCGCATATGATGCGACATTATTATTTCATCTTTGATTAATTCTTGCTGCTGGGAAAAAGACTAAGAGGTGAGAAGAAGTCCCGCCACTTTCCTCCTCATTAATTCTATGGGAGTAAATTATGGGGGGGGGGGGCAAATGCTGGGTACCACCTGCATCCCTCAGCAACTACGATTACTGTGCCACTTGCCAATTTTTGCCACTCTGAGTCGTTGTCCTTCTCTTGTGACACCTGGAAATGGTCTTTTCAGATTGTTAGCAAGTTGTCTATCTAGTCTATTGAGGAGGAGGTGGGTTAGAGTGCGTGAGGGAGGTAACATCTTTTGAACTCAAATTTTTGTATGCCCCTGATGGACAAATGCCTGTTGCGGGGGGCTGTTAGTGACGGTATAACAGTTGTTACCAATTTAATCGGTATCTAAATCAATTAGGCTTTTATATAGGAGGTTCCTCAGGTAGGCTCGACAAGACTGAGATCAACGTGACACCAAGAAACCCTTGTTTGAATGCTGATTATTACAAGACGATTCTGCCTCGCCTTCATTTTGAAAAAAAACCGCTTTTGGCGATTTCCTCCAGTTGCTTGCATTTGCATTCCACCAGCTCAGGGGGGGGGCAGTTAATTGAATTGACAGACAGGCATGGGGGTTTGAATCGTACGTGATTGCACCGTCTAAGGTATATGACAACTTTACTTTGGAGAACGATTAGGGAAGTTCTGAGGAAGACACCATTACAACACCCTTCTTCCTGCGGCATATTTGATTTGTCTCCTGATCAAGTAGATGGGATTTCAGGTCTTACTGTGGCTTTGACATGGTAGGCTCAGAGACAGGTCGCGCGGGAACGACTTAAGGCATGGTGGGTCTGGGACTCGTTACTTTTACACCATCGCTGGCTAATGGTCATACCTTCATGTCTTTGTTTGCAAACTGGATTAGAATTGCAGTAGGTCGCACCTTAGGCACAACTCCAGTTTGAGTTTTATGTTTTGGGTGAATCTAAAGAAATGTGCATTTTTAGGTAAGTCAGAAACATCCGAAGGCATTTTAGCCCTAATTTCTTTCAGAAAGAACCGGCATCTCTGCGGGTAAGTTCTCAATCATTTTGTGAAGTATTGAGCAAATCACCGTTTTTTTTCGAAAACTGTTACATTTTTCAGCATTGATTCGCCTCCACAACTATGCAGGCCAACGACCCTGCAATATTTTAAATTTAAATTAACTTGTCTATTTCACTGATAATTAACAATAAGACGTTAGATTGATACTTACTGGATAAGGTCAATCGAGATTTTTTCACATGATTCCCTCTTAAACCGGGATCGCAGAGGTTTCGTTTTGGTAGAAGGGTCGTTTAAATTGTAACTAGTAGTATTGCCAATTGCTTGTTGTTAGACTTGCCACTTGCACTCAGTCCTTCTGCCCTCTTTAGTTCTCGCGAAAATGGTGTTATTTGATGGACGCCAGTCGATAGTGCATCTCTGCATGTCCGGTGAGGGAGCGCTTCGACTCGCCTCAACCAGTTGTCGAGGCGACGTCAAACTCTGGGACATTTGGGATGATGGAAATATGTACGCCACATTAACCTTGAACACCGGTTCCCCCTCCTTTGTCAATGCCATAGATATTAAGGTAAAGTACTACTTAAATGTTTAATTAGTAGTATTGGTGCAGATTGGGTTGCATACTACTCTTCTTTTTGTCAGACCTCAAAACGATTATCGTCGGCGCCTTATAACCATGCGGTTGCAGTGACGGCTTGGCATCCCTTTGGGGGTCACATATTCCTTGGTGACCAACAGGGTCATGGTCTGGTCCTTCAGGTAAGCAATAATTGCAGCAAAACAATACGTGTTTATTGCTAGTCGGTTTTTTTGTATCTTTTCTGCTATTTGCAGTGTAGTGGTATTTGTTTTGGCTTTTCATTCCATTGACCGTCAGAGACCATTTATTAAGTGATGGAAATACTCTCATAGAATGGAGCTGATTTAGCATTCGTTGTAACTGATATTGCAAAATATAATCGCCTTGAGTAAAAGAGTAGATATGCGGAGGTTTAAAAGGGAAAATTAAGGTGTGGCGGCGAATGACATTAGTGCTTCATGCTTATAGAGATTTGATTACTTCATATAAGGCAGTTTTTTTCTATTTTTCAATAACCACTAATTTCCTCTAGTAGAGATATCTTAAAAAGTTGATCAAGTTAGTCCTAGGGGTGTCCTTTTACCCATGGTCTTCCCAAAGACCAATTGAGTACATCAACCTTTCCCGAATCATTTGATACAATTTGATTTGCAATGCGTTTTTCCTGGACAATTGTAAGAGGGATTAGAAATGATGCAAGCGTTAGAGCTGCGTGGGTGGAAATTGGGTTGCGACCAGGAGGACAAATGTTCGAAGGGTGGAGTTGGATCTTTAATCTGCAACCATCAAAATATCCTTATCTAGCACTTATGCCAGCTCAGATAAAGGTGTCAAAATAAGCTCCCACCGGAATGATTATTTGTGTTGTCCCACTACTTCCTCCGACAGATGATCTCTCGCTCCTTTTTATCCCAACAACTGTTGAATTTTACTATTTTGATGGAATTTTTACTCTCCCATTTTGTTTATCACCTCGAAGATTAACTTGTAGGACGAGAAACCGTTTGGTTGCCTGAATGTTTTGCGTCATCATCATATAATCTCCGGAGCTGTCTACAGTCACGACGGTGATTTTCTTATTACCTCGTCTTTCGATGGCAGTTGTGCCCTCTGGTCCGTGCCCTCTTACACTCAAGTCTTCTCTGTCTGGTAGGTCACTGATTCTCCCATTTAATTGCTACTCACTGTTTAATCAGTAGAGTGGATTTTATTACTTATGTGGACTTTGACTCGCGTGCTTTAACTCTTTTTGAGTTAATAAGTTGTACTGCAGTTTCTTATCAGATATATATATATATATATATATATATATATATGCGGGTTTCGAATTTTCATAAATTTATTTATATCAAATGGCAGACGTTTTGATGGTTATCATTAGCCATTTGGTTGACTTCAGGCTTCACAGAGGGGAAGGAACATCAAAGTGAAAAAAGTCGAGAGCTGGGGAGGGAACAAAAGAGTGTTTCAAAGACGAAGGTAGAAAAAAGGTGAGGTGAGTACTGTGGAAGGGGTCGATGGTAATTTGAAGTAGAAATCAACTGTCGATCAATAGACTTTTTTGCCGTATGAGTACACGTTGCCCAGGGTGCACCACGTGGAGGTAAACCTATCGCACACCCCACTTTTCATAAATCTACACCATATAAGCCGATTTCATTAACTTAAACTGGCTTTTATATTCAATTCCTTAATAACTAACGCCGTTGCTTTATCCTCTAGCCAATTTTTAAATATGTGTTTTATAGCATGTGTTAGTTTTCGAATGTGCTTAGTATTATAAGTTTTCAATAATGTCTGCATCTTATAAAGGTGCTCTTTTCTGTGTGTTTTGCGTGATCAATTTCATATTGTTTCTATTTACTGATAAACAGAGAGTATATTTAAGTAGCATGTACTTCTTACTGCAAATTGGTATGAGATTGACCTTGCATGGATGTATCCGGGACTTGGTGCGTGCGTTCGCCCCAGATGTCTGTTTACACGCTCCTTTGGTGCATGCGTGGCTCGTACGTCACCGCCGTTGCCCTTGGTGACGGTGCGTGTATGCGCGCGAAGGGTAGGTGCGTATGTTTGTGCGGAATCCATGTGAGAGCATTTGATTGGCCGTTATTGTCAACGCAAGTGTGCGTGTGTGTTACATTAACTTTACAAAAATCAATAATACGCAAATCGGCATATCCGTGTGTGTTTACGAATTGCCATAAAGATAGCTAAATGAGCTTATTTTCAACCAAACTCATTGCTTGTAATGAGATTACACTGAGACATCTTTATAAGGCGACTCTAGTTCCCATTGATCTGGAAATTAAAGCGGAGATTGCACTAATTGCGTTAGGTAGGATAATGAGTGAAGTTCTACTTTCACGACCTTCCTAAACAATGTTATTTTGATCGTATCTAGTCGTTTTAACAATTCCTAAACATTTCGATCAGTTGAAACGCCTGATATTGTGCTATTTTCAGTTTTTCTGAGAAAACATTTCACCGGTTTGTTGATCTTTAATTTTCATGAATGGTTAAACTTGTGGGTACCTGGGCTATGCAAGTATCTAGTAGGTAGGGGTTGGAAAATATTAAAGTGAAGTGCAATATTAGACAAATGGGACAATTATTTTAACAAACTTATGCTTAATTAACCACTACGTGTTCGAAAGGATTTCTTTAAGAATTGTCTTCGTTCCGTGTCTATCCATTTGTTAAGGTTAAGTTACTTGAAATTCCACTTTTTTTAACGTTTCCAACAGGCATATGACAGTGAAACGCAATATTCGACTCTTGGGAGGTGCGAACGACTTCCATGTCACAGCCCTTGCCTTATCACCCGACTCCGAATCCTTCGCCACGTTCTGTGAGGATGGGTAAGTTTCTTCCCACCCAGGTAGCTGGAAATTACTTCAGTAGTTTGGCAAACTTATTTTTTCTCACCTTTTTAGTACACTCCGTCTCTGGCCCCTGTCCCACACTCTTGAATACCGAATCTTAACCAATCGAAGCGATTTAAATCGTCGATCAGTTCACGAGCGAGCTCTTGCGTGGGGATCCAGTGGACTGCTCTTGGCCTTCTCGTAAGTTCATATGCCTCCTAATAGATTCTATTTCAACATGAATTTGACCTTATTTCTTCTCTGCCATGAATCACCTTTTCGGTCATAGTCAACTAGAGAAACATTATCGGGTCATCCATCCATCCATCCATCCAAGTTTGCGACTTTTTTGTCTGGGGAAAGGTAGGTTAATGCTAACCCCTGTGTCTCGACGGTCGTTGTAATTCCAAGGCCTCGTGAGAATTTACTCGCTTAGCGGGAGATTAGTCAACACAGATGCAAATATTAATCATCACATTGCTATCTTTAGTTAAGCAAAGGATGATGGGCTGACTCTGTATATAAATTCAATTATCTATAATGCTAATCGCGCACATTTAACGAGGGAGTTTTCGCAGTGCCAATACTTTTTAACCTGGAGGTATGAAGAGCTCAAATTCCCTTGAAATTATGGCAGATTAAGCAAAAGATGTCAGGACGAGTTTACATTAGTGTAGGGGGGCGTAGAGAGTCTTATTTGCCCATATTAGGCTCACCCACACGTTACTGCACACTTGCCACTTGTTTGCTCTTACTTTCTCTCTCTCTCGAAATCTCATCGGTGTTTTATTCAGTGCGCTTTCAACTACACGACGCCTTCACTTCAACTTTTTTTAACACTGCTAGCTGTGGCCTTACTATTTACAATTTGGTTTGAGTTCATTAATTAGGTCAAATTGGTGCCCTCGGTTGCTTACTCCCTGCTATTATCATGTTTATCATTTGTGTATATGACTCATCCTCCTCCACCCCCCGCCCCCCTTGGCCTTTCAGCAATTCCTAGATTTCTCTACTTTTGACTACTACCCTAATCACAGACAGGAAAATTAATTTTAACCAACAAGTTGCAATGTTGCCTCCTCCTCTTCTTTCTGTAAACTGTTCTCTCATCAAATCTAACGCATTCCTTTCATTTCGAGTGATGTCTGGGTTCCCTTTGGAAATTGGGTTGGGTACTGGATGGAGAGCGCCTTGCTCTCTCTCCCTCCCCCCTCTCATCTATTGCTATCTTCCCTCTTACGCTACAAGTATGATTGGCCATATGCTCAGATGGAAAATCGAATTTTTAGTGAATTTTTCGCTCTTGTATGTTCTTCAAACGAGTATGCATTAGTGGGTTTCCAAACTGTCAATGGAAACGGGCTCTCTCTTTCGCTTTGAGTAGGTCACTACTTTGCGTTATTATTGCCTAATGAGGGGGGGGGGACTGGGAGGGGTTAGCATTGTCACTATGACCCTTTGGAAATTTGGAACGGGCATTTGGCGTCGTTCCTCTTGGGAAGACTCTTGGACATTGTACTTTTAAACTATTATTTTTTCGGAGGCAATATAATCGCCATGTAGGTATTAAAGATTGGTTTTATGGGTGGAATGATTGAATGGGGGCTTCGAAATTATGATGCTTGATATGTTTCAGTCTTGGAGGCCTGCCAAATTAAAAAAAGTACTTGGGAGATGCTGGGTTTTTGCTTTGTTTTGTTATTGTGTCAACTTTAGTTGTGAGGTGTTTTCTTTCCCAAGTGTTCTGCAACATGCATGTGACGATATGCAGCCACACTTATGTAAGTAGCACTTGTGCAACTGATGCCATCATAGTACGAACTTGCTCACGGTTGAGTTGATCGAATTGGATCCTTGAGCGCCAGTCAACAGTCATGCTGTTTACCGGGGTAGCCTAAATAAAGTGTGAATGAAGTTCTTTTAATGACGGGAAGTAGAAACTCTCAACAAGGTGCCTAGCTTCTCGTTGAATATTTGCAGCATCTGGCTCGAATAGAGTTGATCCACCCCCCCCCCCCCCCACCCCCCACCCCCAGTCCTTGATGAGAAATTTGCATTCTGCCACCCCCAGTGGTGCTGGACATCCACGTCATGGGATGTGCACTGACCTCTGACTTGGCAAATATGCACCGTCGGGCATTGAAACTCACGGTATTTACTTTTTCGTTGGCAAGTAAGTTAATCTCATGTGCAAATTTATCAAATTTAACCACATTCTTAATATTTTCTGGTTATGGTGGTATAGTTTACATTTGCAATACCTAAAATTGTGAGTGGCACTTTTTCTGAAGAGTAAACCACGAAATACTGACTCCAGGACAATCTAATCGCATGATTAGCACTTTTCTCTGTTCCAATCCAATCAGCCAAAGTTACAACTTCTCGTGCCAAACACTGCTCCATCTTACACAGCCCGCGCTCTCTGAGTTCTCACTCCATTATACATTTGCTTCGATTGTGTGGCAATTGAGATCAGAAGAATGTTTTCATGTGCTTATAGTTATCAAAGTATATCTACTACTTGCCTCAAAATTTCGTTCACTTCCCAAGTACTCCTACAAAAATGTGCACTTGATCTCCTCGTTTCAACGCTTTTTTTGCTTAAAGGAAAAGTGGTTGATATGGTCCATTGTTCCTTAGGGGATCTCATTGCCAATTAGTTTTACGGGCAAACACATCATTCAACATCCTTGAAACGAGAGGTGGCTAAGTGGGTTTCTTTTAGTCTGAATCTGTTACGCTTTTTCTCTTCTCAAGAGGCCAAGTTAACCCTGTTGTCGACAATCGCTCTCTCGTATTGAGATAAAGTCAGAAACAAATTACATTTTGAAAAAAAATTTGAAAATTTATAGCACTCAAGTCGTATTGTATTAATTTGTTATGGGAAGCCATTTGCATTACCCACATCCGAAAGTAGAACGGTCATCTTAATTTTTTTGCATATCCTCTTCCTGTGGTGCTTAACGCACCATTCACAGAGCTTTCACCTATGTCATTCAGTTGCGATGTTTCATCGGGCGATATGAAGAGTTGATAGGGTGGAACCCGTGGGTCTCTAGTCACCATGTAATTCCTGCAATGCCCTCTCCTTTTTGCCATCTTTCCAGCACTGCTGTTCTTTGCAGTTGGCGACTAGTTCCTCCTTTTTTCCCAATTCAACACCTAACAACACTTCGTTATCACGGGGGGCGTATTATTATTATTATTATTATTATTTTCTGTTGCTCTTCCTCCTGTCTACGTCAGTTCCATTCGCATGTTCCGTTGAGAAAGCTCCGGGTGTCCTAATACGTTAAGTGTGCTCTTGTTGTGTGCCCTTGCGTTTCGCAGGACTTGATTAATTTCACCTTGATAGTGTAATTGGATTCCGATCAAATCGCCAAAACTCGCTTAATACCTACAGGCTGCCAACTGAGTAATAATTTTGCCCGATATATACACCGTTTCAATCTGCTGATGGATCAAGCAACAACTGGGATAGTAGTGGCAGCCCTTGGATCTCCACATTCAAAGTTTTCATGAAGTGCAAATGAGCTCACTCAAAGGCCATTATTTCCTGTTAGGCGTGCGATGACTAAACCTGCGTCTGTGTTTATTCAGTGCATTGGTAATCCGGTTGTGAGAGCAGGAGGATCACATTGTGATTTTGGTAAAGTCGGGTTTCTGGCGACCTTACCACGAGTGCTGAATTAATTACGCGAAGGGTTGGTGCTTTTTAGTGTGCTACTGGCTGGGGGGAGTGCATACTCCTAGTGTGTTGTGTGTACCTCTTATATTAGGTGGCGCGACGATTAATATGGTCATTAATATGGTCACCCAACCACCCACCAGAATGACTGACCATATTAGCTTGGACTGACTAATGAAGGAGATGGAATAACGAACTTTTCTCAAAAGGGTGACTCTATGATGCAATCTCTGTGCTCAGGATGTTCATTAGAAAACGTTTTCCTTAAATGGGCCCGATGGTTATTATTAGCTGTTTGAAATCGTGTGTTTTTCGCTTCTAGTCTGGGTGACCATCGACTGCAAATCTGGAATCCGGCCCAACTGGCGACGGGTAGCCTTGTGAGCCTCTGCATATCTGCAATTCGACGTCGCGTGGTGTCGGGACTCTGCGCGAACAACCCACTTTCCTCCTGTCATCAACGTGCTGTCAATGAGGGAAGCGTGCTGACCGCCTTGTCAACTCTACCCATTCCCCGAATTCTTAGATCCCTCCTCTGTCGGCACTTTCAAACCGATATCTCAATGGCTACTACTGCAACACCAACTGTTTCTACTAAATTTTGATATCTTCTCGTTAGACTCTAATCTAAATCCTTTCCTTACGACTCTTTGGTATCGATTGATTAGTTGTTTTTCTGCCCCTATCTCCCCCCCCCCCTCCAAGTTCTCATTTTTGATCAACATTGTGCCTAAGATTGGGAATGGTCTGGTTTCCTAAATTTGTATATGAGTTCAGTCCAATGACAATAGATCGCTTTCTATATCACCTTTATTTTGTTCACCAAGGGAAATTTCGCCATTGGAAACCAACTCGTTGGTTGAAGGCTACATTCATAGGATTGCCTGCAGGCATTTGAGAGAATTTCATCGTTTATAAACAGATTGACAGAGGAAGTACCAGTCCCGCAGTTAATAAACTGAAAGATGGTTGGATGCCAAGGTAACACTCAATGCAGAGTAGTTAAATGACCTGGAGAAATCGGTAACCATCTTGAAGATTGAGGGTAAGCAATAGTTTGAAAAATGCGGGTACAGAATACTTAATAAAAACGCATTTAACAAATTAAGATAGACATGAGTAAAGGATGCGGTCTCGAATCAAGTGACATTTTGACTTGAGATCTATTTGAATGAGTGCCAACTTTGTCATTTTTCAAAATTCTTAGTTATGCTTTGAATGTAGTAAATTTTTTGGCCGAGGGGGGGGGGAATTTTGCTATATTTGCCGTTTCTGGTGAAATGCAAAAGAATGGCGCGAAAATGAATAATTCAAATGACCTTCAAAGTGCAAGGCCGTTATTTGTACTTAATCAGTACATCTTTAAAATGCTGTCACAGCTCAGTTATATGCTAGATTACGAAGATTGAGAGTGCATGGCTTTCAACCTAAAACGTACTACAAAGGGGGAGAGAGAGAGTGAGGTGAAGGGTGTAAAATTGGTGGGTGTTGAGGGCAGTATTACGTGGCTTTCAATACCATTGACTGCCAATTGCACTGGATATCAACTTTCAAGAGCGAATGGTACAGCCTACATTTTACCAACAATCCCTCTAATTTGCCCTTCAGGGGGAGGGAGGCATGCGTTGCAAGTTTCATGCAAGAATGCTGACTTCTAGTACTGATACCACATTGGACATCAAATTCCAGTTATTTAACACTTTTTCAGTATCAAGGGCTTCTATTAGGATATAGTGCTTATTCTGTTTTCCCCTTCAAGAATATAATGTTACCGGGAAAATGAATCTTAATTCCATTTTCTTTATTGGTTTATTATAAATAATTCTAATTAGACGTGAGTGTTAGTTTATGCTTACCTTATGACGTGAAGTTCAACGATCACTTTTAACAGGATATTTAAATCAATGCTAGTAACGAAGTTTTGCTAACTTACTATGAAACGAAAATAGAAATTCAAACTGTTAGTAAATGAAAGGATAAAACGCACTTTTTATCATTTGGCAGCAGTGAATTGGTCGGATGCTGATTTCTATAGAGTGTTAATTTCATATTCACTATTTGAGATGTGAATTAATTATGCCGAAGACGTCAAGTAGTGTGACATTATGCTCCTTGGGGAGCGGTACAACTGTACTTGAGAACAATTCTATACTTGAAAAGCATTTAATGCAAAACAAAGTTCACATTCAGAAGTACAAATTCATTCGCAAATAAATGCGAGATTCAGGAGCCCTCGAGACCAATTCATTCTAGTTGTGACATGAAATATGGTCGAAGATATACTAGGAGGGCATGGTCAGCTACAAACATTTATTTATTTATTTCAAATGGCAGGCGTTTTGATGGTTATTATTAGCCCTTTAGTTGGCTTCAGGCTTTTCAGAGGGGAAGGAAAGTCGAAGTGAGAAAAATTCGAGAGAGGGAGCAGAAGAGTGTTTCAAAGATGTAAAAGAGACAGACACAAAGGTTGAAAAAAGGTGAGGTGAGCAGTATGGAAGTGGTCGAATTTGACATACAGTGGGGTCATGGTAGTTTGTAGTAAGAAGTCAACTGCCGGTTTATAGACTATTTTTGCCGAATGAGTATACTTTGCCCAGGGTGCACCACGTGGATATAAGTCAATCCAACCTCAGTTTACTATTAATGTCAAAAAAGATCATACTAACAATTCAACTAATGAATTAAATTACGAAATTCCCATCTAAAGCATATTCTGATTTCAAATATTCACACCTTTAAAAGATTAATGGTCAAGATTCCACTCCAGAATTTCTGCTTAAAATAAATAAATCGAACATCTGGTCATTTAATTTTAACCCATCTGTGCATTTCCAAAATATGATTCATTTAATGATGTTAGCAAAAGCCATTCAAAAATCCATTTATAAGCATGGATGGTAGTTACAAATGCTGGTAAGTAAATAACAACAGGCCACTGCTTCCGAAATTAGTTTATGTTTTAGATATGAGGACGAAATTTCAATAAAAAAATATTTCATTTCTCTCTAAAATAGTAGTAAACTAGGAGTGCATTAGATCACCAAAACTTTCTAAACTCATCATTGCACGTTGTTCAAATTCGAAAGGGAGTTTTATTAAGACCTTTGATACTCGAACTCAAAGCTGAAGAAAGGAGTAAATTTATGGCTAAAACTACCGCTTTCTGATAACAAAATGAATTTACCTATTTAGGTTTGAATAGCGATGTCTGATTGGTTGTCTGATTAGCCAATAATTGCGACTAAGGCCACTCCACAGGTGGTTGTACACATCCCCAGGTGTGATGGTGGGTAACCAGTAATCGACAGTTCAGGCCGCGAGAGATGGAAATTTTCAGTTAGGCCTCCTAGCACCTACTCTACCGCCACCTCCCCCCCTTCCATCACCATCTTTGTGTTTATTTTTTCTCTATTAATTTACTTTATACCACTTCTCTTTTTGTGTTAACTTAGCTTTATTGGGACTGTTCTCTTTACTTTCCACCTTTTACGATTGTGAGCTTCCTTTGATGGCTTGCTTAGGATATTAGCTTGATAAGCACACAGTCACATACATATAAGGCTGGATTACCTTGGAGGAAAGAGTTAGATAATAGTTGAGCTTATTCTTTCGATGGATCTGATAGGTTAAGTTCTTCAAACAAGTCCAGGTTTAAGAGGTTCAAATTTCATTTCCAATTTCACTGCTCTATTTACCAATTTGACAGTCGCTGTAACAGAATCTGAATTTAGTTTCACCTTCGGGGCCTAAGATTCTTCCCGAAGCATCTTTAGCAGTACTGAAAGGTAAACTTAAATGCAGACCTCTAGTTTTATGGTCTGACCTATCTGCAAATTCATTTCTTGATCATTCATTTCAGACTTACCTATGTTGTTTGTTTACTCCTTTATTCCTAACTGTTGCAATACATGTATATTTATTTTGTTTATTTATTTTTTTTGTTTTCCAGGATTTCGTTTTGTCAGAAAATCCCTCCCCCCCCCTTCATGAAAATGAAGCATTTTCCAAATTTTCTTCGAACAGTTTGTTTTGGGCTGCCATTATTCACCTGTTCAGAGGGTACCAAGACTTCTGGTTAACTCAATTTTTCCCTCATGGCAACATGATTCCTTTTCAGCCTCTTTTTTGGATTTCCTTAACATATATTTCACTTCATTGGACGGAATTGTACTATAACCAACAAATCGGTGCAAATTTTTAGCATCGAGTAACATGCTGTTTTGGAGAATTTTATTGATAACGGAGGTTTGAATAACTGTTGAACATTTTGAATTGATTCCATACTTTTTGAATTTAGGCTTTTTTCACCCCGGTCTCGCTAGTCGATGACTATCGGAAGTGGCGTTTGAGAAAAATACGCACAGTCCCCTTTCAGTTTGTTTGACATAGACGAATCGAAAATCACAATCTTGCAAAGAAAGTGAATGACACACACGTAGTAGATGGGACATGTTGATTTGCTATTGAACTCTTCTGAAACTCTGGTCTTCGGAGTGCACTGTTTGGTTACCCCTGAGAAAACTTGATCATTCTCTTCAGGTGCTGTGCAGATAGTACGACAAATAGCGCCTTTCCTCAGCTTAGTTTATGTTATCATAAGCCCTTGAGTTGACTTCATGCTTCACAGAGAAGAAGGAACATCAAAG